AACAAGAACTCAGTCTGAAGAATTGGGCTTTAAAGAGGGATGGGTGGGCAACACACATACAAACTAGACAGAGCTTTGACACACCACTCTTGAGATTTTTTAAACCATATATATCTCATGACTTCAAAGAAGCCTTTTTTCATATCTAATTTGAGGAATCTTTTCATAATGTTTCAAGTATCACATAATACAGTGTTTTCAAACTTGGCAATTTTCAGATGTATGATCTTGAAAATTGCCAATATTTTTCAAATTTTCAAATTTTTCAAATACTACAAGAAAATTCCCCCTTTTTTCAAATGCAACAGATTCCTAAGGACTTTGAAAAATAAAACTTTATGGCATACATAAATGATGTACCCAAGGTCACTTTATCCATAACTCCAGCAGGTATAAATTATAAAATTAACCATATCAATAGTTGACTTTAAGTCAAGTATATTAAATATTTCATTACCTTACAGACAAGGAAGAGGAAACCCAGTATGTTAATATCTGGATTTAGCTTATTTCATTTCACATCAGAAGATAACACTTTATGACAGCACCTTTCCTCATACATTTTTAAAGTGCATCAGAGAGACTACAGATAGTCCTTGAGTCACGACACAGTTGAATCCAAAATTTGTTGTTAAGTGAGAAATTTGTTCAGTGAGTTTTGCCCCATTTTGCCCCTTTGTTAAGTGAATCACTGCAGTTCTTAAATTAGTAACACAATTGTTAGTGACTCTGGTTTCTCCACTGACTTTGCTTGTCAGAAGGTCACAAAAGGGAATGACTCCAGGACACTGCAACCGTTATAAATGTGAGTCAGTTGTCAATTATCCAAATGCAAATCACATCACCATGGGAATGCTACAACAGTCATATGTCTGAAAAAAAGATCAGGTCACTTTTTTCAGCTCTGTTGTAACTTAGTGAATGGTCACTAAGTGAGCTATTGTAAATCAAGGACTACCTGTAGTACAATTCAATACCATTTAGACCCCCAGATATGAACAAACAATTAAATATATCATTAAAATTATCATTTCCATACCATTTAAAAACTTGAAGAAAATAGTAAATAAATTAAGATAATTATATTGTTATAAGTATTATGACAGATCCAAGAATTCAGGTATGGACACTTCATGAATTAAATATCTAACTTACAACCTATTTCAGTCTTATATGCCACAGATACTGATGGCCTTCAATGAACTGATTAATCGTTGACGATTTAGGATTGATCAGTTGATAATTTAGTGTTGTTTAATGACAAAATAATAATCAGATTTCTCAGAAAAATTCTGAACTCTGACCATTTTAATACACAAATACTAGATGTATTTCAAGTATTTTTAGTATACTCCCTTCAGATGCATTGGAATTTCAATTTCCAGAATTCTACCAAAATGACAGAATGTTCTAACAATTGCACTTCCCTAATAACTGAGGAACACCAGGTGGGAAAAAGATGCTGTAAAGCCGGCTGCAGTCGTATGTTTGAAGCACAGACGTCTGTCTGTCCACAGACATCTGGATTACTTGTGGATTGTTAACTAGCAACAGGATTGATATGAGGATTACATGCGAGAAGCCCTGAACATCTGTGGTTTTTTTTCTTTCTCATGGAGAAACATGACTGAAATTATGAATAATCGTTTTTTGTAATGATCAATGAACTTTCCTTTACAGATCCTTCTCTGCATTCCTACACATTCAAAATAGTATTCAAGTCCACAGAGCCAGACAGGGAGGGAGGTTCAAAAGCCTATGTATATTTAATGCTTGTGTAGACGGTACTAGAGACTTGTCGAGGGTACTCAGGTCCTTCTCAAAAATAGACTCCACCCCCTGCTACCCTCTGCTAACTTGAAAGAAAAGCATTTTTCCATACAATTTATTATTGAATCATAAACCAGGAAGTGAATTGACTGCAAGCTGTTTTGAAAATATATTAAAAATTCAGATAGTTCTTGACTTAAAACAGTTTATTTAGTGACTGTTTGAAGTTACAGCGGCACTGAAAAAAAAGGACTTATGACCATTTTTCACATTTACGACTGTTGCACGGTCACGTGATTAAAATTCAGACACTTGGCAACTGACTCATATTTACGGCAGTCGTAGTATTCCGGGGTTATGTGATTCCCTTTTTTAATCTTCTTACAAGTGATGTAGATGGGGAAGCCACTTAACTTTGTTATTAACTTAACAAATGCTATGATTCACTTAACAATTGTGGCAAGAAAAGTCGTAAAATGGGGCAAACTCATTTAACAAATGTTTTACTTAGCAACATAAATGTTGGGCTCAGTTGTGGTCATAATGTGACAACTACCTGTACATTTAAGTTGGAATCCTTTCCAGTTTTAATTCCACAATATAATTTGGTTACAGTGATTTATAAAACATATTTTATGGTTTAACATGTCTGAACCCATGTACTTGTCTTTTATTCAACAAATCACAAGGAAATTGTGGATTAGTAAAAGGGGTGAGCTTATTAATATGTACTGGATTTGAGAAGCAAAAAGGCCCTTTTGCCACGTCTTTAGTCTGTAGTTTTTTAATCCCTTAGTCCCTTTTCATCCCTTAGTTTGTATATGGCAGAACTGGATCTGCCACCCTTTGCTATATGGGCATAGGGTGCAGCACTTTTGAGCCATTGATCACATGAACGCTGAGTGCAAGGACCAGTTGTAAGTTACTGTTTTCCTTGCCATTGCTAAATGAATGATTGCATGTCAAGGACTACCTTGACTGACTCATTGGAAATGAGTTGGTCCTAATTGGTTTAGGTCTTGGGTGCCCAGCTCTTGAGGGGCTGCCACAAAAAAGAGGGGGTGTCAACCTGTTCTCCAAAGCACCTGAGGGCAGGACAAGAAATAACAGATGAAAATTAATCAAACCTAGAACTAAGGAGGAATTTGCTAACGGCAAGAACGATTAACCAGTGGAACAACCTGCGTTCAGAAGTTGTGGATGCTCCATCATTGGAGGTTTTGAGTGGAGATTGGACAACCATTTGTCTGAAAAATATAGCATCCCCTGCTTGAGCAGGAGGTTGGACTAGAAGACCTCCAAGGTCCCTTCCAACTTCTGTATTCTATATTCTATATCAGTATATTTCATTTCATTTGTTCATTAGATTTATATTCAGCCTTTCATATAATTGTGTATCCTTAGTTGATTGCCTATCCAGCACTGACCACCATTAAAAATATAGTTCAAAAGAGCTTTTCATCATTCCGGTGTTTTTTGATATAGTCAGTTTACATATTCAGTTGCCAGTTATCAAGGGCAAAACAATCACCCAGTCTATACGCAGGTATGAACCAGCCTGGCTTGTATTCCTGCTCCTACCCACCCCCATTGATCTCAGGGATGTCTGCAGAGAGAGTAAAAAATGTCAAGATGGCAGCCATACCTGTGCAACCAAAGGCTTGCCTCTTTTTTGTGGGTATCACACCACATCTTATTTATCAAACCACAACTGAAATAATATTGCAAATGTACAAACTCTTGCTAATTTAAAGTTTGTATTAGTCATCCGCTTACATGTTTACCACAGGTTGATAGCCTGGGGAAAGAATTCCCTAAACTTAGGATCTTTCACCTTCCATATACAGTAAATGTTTTCCTGATTGGTAATCGGGAAACAATATCTATGTACCATACATCAAATCACTCTTTTCGAAGCCTGCAATAAAAGTCCAAGTCTTTTATAATGCAAGAGGTTATTGCATAGAGAGCTACTAAAAATAGTTTTCAACCTACAAAAAGTGATTATTTATATGGCACATTTGCTAGGGAGTTCAAAGTCCCTCCCACATCTTCCAACAATTATTCTTACAAAACTGCAAGACAAATCACAGGATCTTTGCTTCTATAGACACGATAGTATAACTGAGACAAAAGCATATTTTACACTGGTGACTGAGCTAAGATTCAAATTGGGTGGCTTTGATTTAGAGGTCCTATTCCACATTATAGCCAGACTATGCCAGCATGTATTCTGATGACAATTCTGGGGGAGGTGATGGGCTTTGTATTCCAACACATCCAATGCACACAGATTGAGCTAGGATGCATTCATCATTTGCAGACACTGAGCTCTCCTTTTCAAAACCCTTATTGCTCACATTCATCTTGTTACATGCAAAAGGGATTTAAAAGTTTGGTTTTCTTTTCCCTTCACAACTGGAAGGTTGATCTGACCTCATCCTCTGGTCTAGCTGGTCCACACAGGAAGGCAGGCCAGGCCAGGCCAGGCCACCTCAAGAGCAAGCAAGCAATCTTTTTTAGCTCCAACATTATAATGACAATCACCCTATGACAAGTATATTTCCCCTACTTAGCGCCTGTACTTTTTCCAATAGACAAATGCTACCTGTAGGTGCTTCCTATGTTTGTCACCATCCAGGTATGAACAAGGTGAAGGTGGGAGACACCTTGTTCCTTTTCCTAATCTGCTCTTCTGCTGCTTTCCAAACAATTTCTGCTATCATTTCTCCATATCACTGCTTCCTACTATCTGAGGTAACTAAAAAGAAAAGATGGGAATCACCCAAAGGAACATTTTGAACGAAAAAGCATTATATTCCTACTTCTGCTCCCCAAATATCTTCTCTTCAATATCATAACATAACCTTGAAATCAAAGCTTTGAAAGGGCTAGATTCAATTTTAGATATTAGGAAGAGCATGCTGCAGTTATGAAAGACAAAACACTTTGCACATACACAGAGACACTCTTTTTCTTCCCTATGATGTCATATATACTGGGGCTAGCAATCCCTGACATTCCAAACTGTTTCCTATTTACAATTAAAGCAAGCTGATCTATCTAATACTCCCACCACGAGGCCCAACCCTGTCCATAACCTTTTAATCCCCTTTGCTCTTGCTGGATGACAGTAGCCTTCTCCTCCCCCTTCTTGCAACTACTATCCCCACCCCCATCTTGGCAGCAGTCCCAACCTTCACCCGAACTCCCAACCGTGGACCCCTTACCGGCTCCACAGCCATGTCCATGGGGGGCTGTAGGGTCCCCTCCCAGCCTCTCCAGCACCCTCCCCACTAAACGATCGGGGCTTTCCGGTTCTGCCAACGGGACCCAGCAGCAAGTAGGCACCGACTCGGGACTGAGCTGGGTTTCGCCTCCTCCGCCACCTCCTGGGGAGAGCTCCTCCGACGAGAAGGATGTTGGGGAGCGTAGAGAGGAATCGGGGGCCCGCAGCTCCAGCCAGCGGCCATCGCCCGGGGTTTCCGTGCCTCCTTCCGTCAGATCTTCAGGTGGCTCCTTAAGAAATCCAGGCAGGATTTTGGATACGCTTTGCCTGCGAGATAACTGCCCTCCGGAACCAGGAACAGCCCGGGTGGCCAAGTGAGAGCCCTGCTTCTTCAGAAATTTTTCCAAAGGCTTCATCCCACCGGCCACTGCGGGGGCACCCAAGGGCGCAGCAGGGCCCCAGGACGAGGGTTGATCCAATGCGCCCTTCTCAGCCTAGGCCAAAATGGGAGATCAGGGGTGCCCTCTTTGCGTGCTGGAGGTAGATAATGGGAAGATGCGTGGTCAAACAGTCATGGCTATACCCGATGTTGGCGAAGGGGCAAGAACTGGGAACGAAAGCACAGCTTTAGACAATTTTACTGGACTTGGAAAGGGATTAGAGGGCAAAATAAACAGAGTTTTGCGGCTTGCTTCTCACAACGGGAGCAATTCGAGGACCTGGTCTATCTGACCCCCCGAGCTAAATGAAGAAGTAGGAAAGGAGGCGACTGCATATATAGCCTTCTTTTCTCTTGACCACCTCAGCAGCACCGAGCTGGCTAATCTCTGGCAGGATTCGCCGCCGCCACTCCCGCTTCTGTCCTTAGCGCAGAGGGGCGTGCGAGTAGGGTTTTCCCGAGTCGATGAGGGGAGCTACGTTTGCAAGCCGGATCTCCCCGTAGCCGCAGCCGCCACACTGCAGACCCGTCTCTCTCGCCTTTCCCACTCTGGGCGTCTTATACGCTCTCTATTCGCCAGACGGTTGCTGCTGCAGGCGGGATCCTCCTTTATGGATGCTCATGACAGCGGGGGAGGCAGGCACTGAAAGCAGCAGGAGCGTGGGCTGAAGCCTGCCTCTCTGCAGGGGAGTTTGCAGACGCGGGGGGAGGGGTTCTCGGCTCTACCCCTTTCTCCTGCTTTGTATTTCCCGGCGTAAAATGAAGTAAGAGTCGCGAATCAGCAGCCGTCTTTCTTTCTCCCTCTAGATCTCCTTCACCCTGGGAGAGTAACAAGGCGGCTCTAAACTCCGCCCCTATCTTCTATTCTTCCTCCCCTTTTCTTCTTCTCTCTCTTTTTTTCTTTTACGCTTGCACTTGTTGCGTGCAGGATTGAAGCCAAAATATACACCTTGATGTGAACGATGAACGGAATTAAAACCTCCTCCTCCTCCTCCTCCACCACCACCACCTCCTGAAGTTGTTGTTCAGGTTGTTTAATCAGGTTGTTCAGCTACCAGCTTCATTAGAGTTTATGGGTCTTCATACAGATGTGGTCATGAGAGGTTAGAAGTGGAATGATCAGTATGTTTTAATTTGCTTATGTTCCATGAGTTATTAGATGAACAAAAAAAGCATTAGGCCAACAATTCTTTCATCTTATTTAAAGTGTGTGTGTAGTGTCTCTAGCCTGAAACAACTGCACCACAACTTTCAGATATAAATGGTGGTCCACCATTTTCTTCCATTTGCAGTTTACGTTGGAACAAAATTGCCCTGGCAAACTTAGTGTTCTGCCTTCATTGCACCACACTGCCTTTAATATATTTCCAGTTCATATTTTAAACACTGGTATGTTGAACCTTCTAGTCCCGGGAAAAATTAACCTGACTTGTTTTTCCTGCTTAATCCATCATAGAACCAAACTGCTCTAGGCTTTGGGGAAGTATCTTCATGTAATCAGAAGTGTCAGAGTTCTCACAAGGAGAATAGAACAGAACATTTATTTTTCATATTCATCTTACTGCACATACAATATGAGCTAGAAAGAAGCATCTTTTAAAAAACCCTTATTTTACCATATTGATATTGTCAACAGGTTAATTGTTTAAGTATCGTCTAGTCCAGGACTTTTCAACCTTTTCAGAGAATGTACCACTTTTAGGATATGACAATATTCAAGTACCACCAGTTGTCTAGCAGGTGGGCGTGGCCTGCTTGACACACACTGAACACAGCTGACTCGAGACAGCTGGGTCAGAATGGAACAAGTTGCACTGGCTAACTCGATGTGGGGACAATTCCCTGCCCCATAAACTTCTCGCCTCCCCAAACTGCTAGTAGCTAAGCGCAAGCGTGCACACACACACACACGCACACCACATTCTAGATTTGGGGACTTTTATCCACAGAGGAATAGGCCTTCTCCCCAAGTCCAGGCACGATTGGCAATTTGCTAGCTCAGATGTGGATACAAGTCTCCAAGCTTGGAATGTGTGTGTGTGTGTGTGTGTGTGTGTGTGTGTGTGTGTGTGTGTGTGTGTGTGTGTAGCATGCTAAAGAGATGTTCTTTTCCCAATCTCAGACATAGTTAGTGTTTCCCTGTCCGGTGCCCCCTCCTGGCAAAGCAGGAGATGGAGGACGTTTGCAGGAAGCAGTTTCCTCTGAGTCCAACTCCTATCTTGACAGATCTCTGGAGAGCAAGAGGAGGCTACAGGGGAGCAGCGGGTCCTGGATCCTGCACAAGGGAGGCTGGGTCTTCTCAAAAGGAGAGTCCCATTTCCAATCGTGCATGGTAAGGATGCTGGCTTGTTGGGTCAGCCTTCCCTCACAGAGCTCCCCTGCCACACCCTCCTCCTCTGCAGAGATCTACAGGGCAGACAGAGATCTGGAGGGCATGCAGCCTCCATATTGGCCACTTCTACCTCTCCAAGCCCTTCTCGATTAAACATACATTATATATAAATTAAAACACAGCCAAAAAGAAAACATAGTTAAACCATTTACTACAGCTCTTCACATATTTTCTGGAAAAACCATCTTTATTGATGTTAGGAAGAGCAAACCTTATTAAGGAACTCTTAAGAGGAAGGGAATTGAAGACCCCAAAAGGTTCTTTCTAATCTGCCTTCCCTTTGAGCCTTTAGTTCTCATTATTTTATTATTAAGTATTTAAGAAGAAGAGAGCATGCAGGTGTCCAGTCAGAATATTAGTGGCACACCTGTAAGCAACTGGAAATGCGTAAGTCCATGTACTTCCCTTTCCTGTCTGACAACTCAATCGATACATCCTTTAATTTTCAGGTACATCTTTTTCTCATAAGATCCTTAAAAAACTCACAAGATATACTGTAATTAGCAAGAAAAATAAATCTATCACTCCTGAATTCTTTTCCCAAGGGGGAAAGGAAAATTCACAGCCTGCAGGTTGCTAGCAAAGTCATCAAAGAACGTGGTTATTGCTGCTAAAGACAAGAATAAATAACAAATCAATTTTGCAGCTCTCTCCTATTACTACATCTTCTTACCTCCAGAATGTGGCCTGGGATTGCACAAGGGGCTAGGCTAAAATCTGGTTGAGTAGTTTGCAGCTAGGTGTTCAGTGAGCTATTCCTTCCCACAATGGAGACTCCAGTTTGTGCCCCCCCCCAAAAGAGACATTTTAGCAACGGCAGCACAGAGTTCACCTGGCATCAATAATTATGCCTGATCCCCCTTAAAACCAGTGAGGACTCTCTTTCTATCCCAGTTTGAATCCAAGGATTAACCTCTATTTGTCACCTTATGTATGAGTTTGCCTTTCATAGATTGCTATAAAGCAGCGGTTCTCAACCTATGGGTCGCGACCCCATTTGGGGTCGATCGACCATTTTTCGGGGGTCGCCAAAGGCGGCGATCCGTCATTTTCTCCCCTCTGGGGGCGGCGCCACGCATGCGCGCTGTGCACAGCGGCGGCACGCATGCGCACCGTGCATGGGGATGGCGGCGCGCATGCGCACTGCGCATGGGGGTGACGCCGCGCATGCGCATAATGTTTGTGTGACGGGGTCGCCATCACACAAACATTGAGAACCGCTGCTATAAAGGTACACACAATATTTTGATTTTGATTTCCCAGGTGAAAAGAACACCAGAGAATCTTTACAATATCTGGGGTAATAAAATAGATGCATAGCAAGTAGCATCCAAAGAATTTTATTGTCAGCTTTCTGAGATTATCTTTTTATAAACCTTGCTTACTTAGTTCTTGCATATTTTCACTGAACCCTAACTGCATCACCACCCCTTTCTCTCAGTGGAAAGGTTTAGAGTACGTCACCTTCTAAGATCTGACACCTCTCCTATTCAAAATGTTCTAGAAAAATCTTCATTTATTTCTTAAGACCACTGTAACCAAGCACCCTAGTTCATTAACACAGAAATGTTGTCTGACAAAGGATTGGCTGGCTAGGAGCATGTAGAAAATGGGAAGGTACGTTACAGTGGCACTTTTCAGAAGGAACAGAAGGAATTTAACAAGATAGCTCACTGTTTGGCAGCAGCATTTTGCAAGCCTGACCAAAATCTTTTTGTAGATCTGAAGCCAAGAAGGTAATGGTGGACTTTCCACGACACAATAAAAACTAGTTGAAGCTTCCTTTGAATATTAGACAGTAAGACTTATGGCTGAAGCCTGAGCCTTTTTTAAGAGTGAGAAGACATTCCAGGTCTGGTAGTGTCAGCCCCACTAGATAGACCAGACCACAAAATCAACTTCACAGAAAGGCTATTGAGATTGGCTATAATAAAAGGGTCTTGCAAATCTGATTTCCTCTCCTTCTGACTCCAATCAGAGAGACTTCTGCCGAAGCTGATTCAAAATATTATCTTGCTTTCTAGGACTTAAATAATGTTACAGCCTTCTTGTTAAGTAATAATATTGTGTATTTCAGTCAAAGTCATCTCCCTTACTCTCTGCAGGCACCATGGCTTTCTCCAACAATACCTTGCTGCTATTTCACAATATCTGCTGTCTGAGAAATTGTATATTTGCTTTCCATCTTTTCTACAAATAACTCAGGGCATCCACCGTATATAACACACCTTCCTCAAGCATAATTGATTACTTTTTTAAAAATAATATTCTGCCGTTATTACTTTATAAGTAACTCAAGATGGCAAACATATTTAATACTCCATCTTCTTCCTATTTCCCCACAACAACAATCTTTTGAGGTGGATTGTCCTGAGACAATGACCAAGGTCATCCAGCCAGCTTTCATGGCTAAGGCAGACTTGAACTCACAGATTCCCACTTTCTTGCCTGGTGCCTTAATCACTAGACCAAACTAGTCATAGCTAAGTTTGACTAATTATGACAAACTTGGAAATCATGGAGCTGGACAACATGTGTATGATAGACAGAAGGAAATCTCAGGGGCATATAGTCCCACACACATGCACACTGTTATGTCCTGGGCCTGCAGGCACAGGCTGCGCAATTGGCCCGGGCAGACCACATGGATGCCCGGGACCAGAAAGGCTGTTCCTAACCTTGCATACATGCGCAAGGCGGGAAAATCCGTTGCAACAATTGGGCAGCAAGGTACTATGCAGGGGACTATAAAGAGAACCGCACCACTGTGTAATCCTGTTCTGTTGGTGTTGCAATGAAGAAGGACTATTTTGGAACTCGTTGCTTCGTCTCAGTGCCTCTTTCTCGAGAGCAGAACATTGGCAACGAAGGTGGGATGCCTGCAAGGAAAATGAAGTAAGAAGCCAAGCTGACTCACCACGGGAGGCTTGCAGCTCGGAGGAGAATGGCGTCCGGAGATTGCAACTCAGCCTGCCAGTATGGAAACACTGGAGGTGAGTTCAGCGAGGGGAGCCCCTTCTCAAACCTTGTAGCAGGAGGTGTGGACAAAGTTCTTGGACTGCAACAATGGCAAAGATAGGTAGGCTGTCAGAGTTTGACACAGCTCATCCAGAACGCTGGAGCTCGTACATGGCCCGGGTGGAGAACTACCTCCGGGTGAATCAAATTCATGAAGACGGCCTCAAAGCTGCCACGTTGCTATGTGTTTGTGGGCAAGAGACCTTTGATATTGCGGAGAATCTGGTCGTCCCAGCACCTCTGGAATCAATCGCCTACACAGACTTGAAGAGATGCTTCGAGAGCATTTTGAACCCAAGCTCTCAGTGATTGCCTGGCGACACACATTTGAGCAGCGGGATCAGAGGCCTGGTGAGTCTGCTGCGGAATTTGTTGTGGCCTTACGACAAGCAGCTAGGCCCTGCGAATTCAAGGACTTGGAAGAGAGACTGAGAGATCGGCTGGTCTGTAGCCTGCAAAGCCAGGAGTTGCAGCAGA